TCGAAGAAGCAACCGATTGTGACTCTTTCTACTTGTGAAGCGGAGTATGTAGCTGCCACTTCGTGTGTTTGTCACGCTATTTGGTTGAGGAGTTTGTTGAAAGAACTCAATTTTTCTCAAGAAGGTCCGACTGAAATTTGTGTTGATAATAAGTCGGCAATTCAAATGCGAAGAATCCAGTGTTTCACGAGAGGCGCAAGCATATCAATACGAAGTACCATTTTATTCGAGATTGTATCTCCAAGAAAGAAGTGAAGCTGGAGAACGTGAAGTCGAAAGACCAGGTTGCGGATATCTTCACGAAGCCGTTGAAGCTCGATGTGTTCAAGAACTTACGATTTTCTCTTGGAGTGATGAATTTAGTTTAAGAGGGGGTGTTGAAGTATTAAACTAAATTATTATTTGTTAATGTATTTAGGTGGTCATGTTCTAGAATTTACATAATTCATGAATGTAAGATTAAGATGCATGAAAGTAAAATGTAGGTAAAATGCATCTAGTAATTAGGGGAGTTTGAAGAGGTATTCTTATACCTATAAATACCATATGTGAGTCATTTGTAAGTTGCAAGAGTGAAAAAGTCAAGAAGAAGAAGATTAATATAATAAAGTTTTTTTTTTACTTCTCCTCTACCATTTTCCAACAGAATACCCTCCGGTGGATCATTGAAGAACATCTTGTTGAATCATAACAAATACATGCATAGTCCAAACCTTGAACTGATATGATAGATTGTTAAATGAGTCAAATTTCAAAAAAAAAAAAATAAAAAAAATAAAATAAAATAAAATTAGCCAAAATTTTATATATTTATGGATTGGTTCCAACGAGGACACATTCGTAAAATGAGGACATGAGACTCAATCATAGCCACTAAAAGAGTATCAAAATGTGTGGCCAAGATTTAACTCTGTATTAAAATAATAATTTTTAGTTTAATTATTTTAGTTATTTAAATATTATTTTGACAATTGACCGTTGACCCCTAGTATGCATTGTGTGTGAAGTAAATATGCATCCAGCACTATGCACTTAATATGAACTACATATGTATAAGATATGAATTATTTATATAATCCCTTGTAATTAATGATAAATAACGTTACAACTAAATACAACTAACATTGCAACTAAATATATCTAACCTTGCAACTAAATATATATAACCTTGCAACTATTGATAACTTTGCAACTAGATACAACTAATATTGCAACTACAGAGAACTAACCTTGCAATTACAGACAAATAACCTTGCAACTAAAACACAAATAACCTTGCAAAAACAGATAATTAAACTTGCAACTACAGACAACTAACATTGCAATTGCAGATAACTAAACTTGCAACTACATTCAACTAAACTTGCAACTACATTCAACTAAACTTGCAACTGCAAACAATTAACCTTGCAATTAGATACAACTAACCCTGCAACTACAGACAACTAACCTTGCAACTACAAACAACTAACTTAGCAACTACAGACAACTAACTTAGCAACTACAGACAACTAACCTTGCAACTAGACATAACTAATCTTGCAACTAGATAGAACTAAACTTGCAATTACAGAAAACTAACCTAGCAATTAGAGACAACTAAATTAGCAACTACAGACAATTAACCTAGCACCAACAAACAACTACCTTGCAACTACAGAAAAAATAACATTGCAACTACATACAATTAAACTTGCAAAGTTAGTGTAAAAATGATGCATAGTTAGTGATAAAGTGTTGCACAATTAGTGTCAAAATATTGCATGGTTATTGAAACAATAATGCAAAAATGATATTTCATAGTTAGTGATAAAGTGTCGCACAGTTAGTGTAAAAATGTTGCATGGTTATTGTTGCAATGATGCAAAAAAACTGTGCACGAGAGACATATTTATTGTAAGAAACCATATACATATTTATTTCAACACAGGTGCATAAGTATTCCAATTACTTAATCTGAGTCATTGATCAACACAAAATTAATGGTTAAGAAGTGTTCTCATTTTAAGAGTTGTCCTCATTTGATCCGCCCTCTATATGTATGTATATATATATATATATATATATATATATATCACGCACTTGTGAGAATGACTTTCGGTGAAAGAAATAAGAATATATAGTGACCGTTGGATCGTATGATCTAATGGTGACAAAAAATCCAGCATTTAGTCATTAAGGATATTTTAGACATTTTGGTTATAAAATGTGGGACCCATGCCAACTAATTAACATTCAACACACCAAGGATTTAATGCCATGTAACCACTACACATCACACCATACCGACCCTCTCTCTCTCCCTCACACACATCACTGCACACACACTGTGACACACACATTACACACACGGTACACACACGCAACACACACTCGCCGATAAAACACACACTCGCTGGCGGAACTTTAGCCATTTATAGTCGCCGCCGCCATCACGACTCCGATGCCCCCGCGCCAAGCCGCCGCCGATCTGCACAAATTCCATCACTTTCTCCGCCCTACAAATTATGTCGTTTTCTCTCCCTCCAGCAGCACATCACACACTCAGTCGACCGTCGGTACCTGCGCTTGTCGCCTCCGGCCGTGACCAACAGATTTCAACCGTTGTTCGCCACTCGCCGCTGATCAAAGACAACACAAATTGGTCTCCTGCAGCAGGTTGTAGGAGTTGAGGAATGGAGGCAACCAGTCGAACACCATGTCGTTTTGGGCGAGGATTGGTAGCAGGTGCCGTCATCGACTGAAAATCGTTTTGGAGCTGTGGACTTCAGTTCAGAAATTTGATTATTCCCAAGGTCTATTTGCAGTTTTAGGAATTTCAGATTATTACAGATAGACCCCATGGGTAAAATATGTAATTTACAGAAAATATATAAAAATATATTATTTTGTATATATTTTCTTATACATGTATGACATGTATTTTAAACCAAAAATAATACGAAGTATTAAATACAACTATTTATATAAAATTTATTTTGATAATATAAATAATAAACTAATTTTACAACCAAATAACCACATTATTATTTAATTTCACATAAAAAAAATATCGCACTGCATGATACACAATATAGTAATAAAGATGCCAACTATTGAATATCAGTCTGCACAATGTTAGAAGTCAATATGGTGCAGTTTCCAAGTCTAATATCAACATGCAACAGCAACCATTGGATCATTATCAAGCTAGAACAAATGTGAGCCGTGAGATCAATTTTTTGGACGTTGAGAAAGAAGACAAAGAACAACTGCATTACAACACGTGCAGCTCCCTCATTGGTTCCTCATTGCAGCCAATAGTAGCTTAGGGTTTTCTTTCCTTTGTTTTAATGATGTCAAGTCTCATGTATATAATGTGGGGAACATGACAGCCGTCATTATTGCTTTTCATTGATATTGAGAACACAGAATTCTGCAAACATGAATCTTGAGTTTAATGTTTTCCTTTTTGATCTTTGGGTAACATGTGATATCTTGACATGGTATCAGAGTAGGTATTGACCTGTCTCTGATGCTATCCACTCATCTCTTTTAATTTTTTTTATTTTTTTATTTTTTTTTATTTTTTTTATTTTTTACCTTTCATCATGTCTCAAAGCTCAAATACCGAAGGAGGCTCTACCTCAAACCAAAACTCACAGATCCAAATCGTTCAACCTCAGAATCAGCTCATCACAACCAAACTAGATGAGTCAAACTATCTTATCTGGAAACAACAAGTGCTCACCACCATAAGAGGTTATGGCCTTGAAGATTTTATCACATGAGATAGTGCAGCCCCTTCGAAATTTGTGGTTAACCAAGATGGAGAACCAACCATCAACCCTGAGTTCATGACATGGACCAGACAAGACCAACTGCTTGCATCATGGTTTCTCTCATCCCTCTCAGAAAGCATTCTCATCTTAACAGTTGGCTTAGGCTCAGCAAAGGAGATTTGGATATCTCTTGAGGTAAACTTCTCAAGTCAAACCCTGGCTAAACAAATGCAGTATAAGCTGCAACTTCAAACCCTCAAGAAAAGAAATCTGTCTATGAGAGAATACTTGAACAAAATGAAATATTTCTTTGATATACTTGCTGCAAATGGAAGTGTGGTGTCCTCCACAGATCAGATCCTTCATATTCTCTCAGGCTTAGGATCTGACTATAATCCTGTTATGGTCAATGTCACATCTAGACCAGAGGCATTCACTAAGACTGATGTTGAAGCTCTTCTGCTTTGCTTTGAGTCAAGGCTGGAAACCACACAGTCATTGAGCTTTAACAATGAAGGAACTCAGCCCACCTTGAATGCTCTCACTCAAACTCCTCAAGGAAAGTTTAACAACAACAACAGAAACTATAACACAGCTCCTAGAGGAACAGGAGGAAGAAACAATAGAGGAGGATATAGAGGGAGAGGTGGCAGATATGGTTCAAACATGCCAGTTTGTCAAGTGTGCCAAGTGGCTGGCCACACAGCAGATAGGTGTTGGCACCGTTTTGATCAAAACTTCAGCATACAGTCCAACAATGGTCAGAACAGCAACACTCAAAGCTCCTTCATGAGAAATCCAGTGGTGAATGTTGTACAGGCATCAAGAACATGTTCATCTGTTCAAGACTCAACCTCTGAAATGAATTGGTATCCAGATACATGAGCTTCAAATCATGTCTCAAGTGATCTCAACAACATCACCAACCCAAATGAGTATTTTGGAAATAGCAAAGTGCAAATGGCCAATGGTGCAGGTGAGTGCATTGCTCATTATGGTAACACATTCCTTAAAACACCACACTCCAAAGCTTTTGTTTTGAAAAAATTGCTTCATATCCCTTCTGTCACAAAGAATCTTATCAGTGTTTCACAGTTTGCTCTTGACAATAATGTATACTTTGAATTCCATCCCTTGTTTTGCCTTGTTAAGGACCAAGTCACACAGGACACTTTACTCAAGGGAGTTCTTAGGGAAGGCCTTTACCAATTCAAGCTTCAATCTATCAAGAATAAGAGCACTCAAGTCCAAATCTCTAAGAAGTTTGACCAACCTAGTTGCAATGCTGCTGTTTTATCAATTTCCCTAAAGAATAGTCCTAGCCTAGATCTTTGGCATCATAGATTAGGACATTCTAGTTATGAAGTTGTAATGAAAGCTTTAAAAGCCTGTAATATCCCATTTGCAATGAAAAAGGATGTTACTGTTTGTTCTCCATGTGCTTTATCTAAGATTCATAAATTTCCTTATACTGATTCTGAAACCAAATATGCCAACCCTCTTGATCTTGTTCACTCAGACCTTTGGGGGCCATCACCTGTGAAATCTAGAAATGGCTATTCCTACTATGTCACTTTCATTGACCACTGCACCAAGTTTACATGGAT